TTTGTTTGTTTGTTTGTTTACTTGGGCCAATGGTGTGTCAGTTGTGTCCCGGTTGGGGCGCCAAACTCTGTCCCGGTTGCCCCTCTTCCAGACCAGCTCTCTGCTGTGGCCCGGGAGTGCAGTGGAGGATGGCCCAAGTGCTTGGGCCCTGCACCTGCATGGGAGACCAGGAGGAGGCACCTGGCTCCTGGCTTTGGATCAGTGCAGTGCGCCAGCCGCAGCCCACCGACCGTAGCAGCCATTTGGGGGGTGACCTTTCTCTCTGTCTCTCTCTTTCTCACTGTCTAATTCTGCCTGTAAAAAAAAAAAAAAAAAAAAAAAAAAAAAAAAAAAAAACTCTCCATTTCACTGATCATTTGTATTGTTTCTTGTTTGTTTTGTTTGTTTCTTCTTGAACTTTAGCTATTTCTTGCCTTCTACTAATTTTGGTTTCTTGTTTTTCTAGTTCCTTGAGATGTATTGATAGCTTGTTTATTGGTGCCTTTCCAATTTCTTCATGTAGGTGCCAATTGCTATAAACCTCCCTCTTAACACTGCTTTTGCTCTATCCCATAAGTTTTGATATGTTGCATTGTCATCTTCATTCACTTCCAGAATTTTTTTTTCAGATTTCAAAGCTTTAATTTTCTTTTTTTTAAAACTTTTTTTTAGTAAATATAATTTTCCAAAGTACAGTTTATGGATTACAATGGCTTCCCCCCCCATAACTTCCCTCCCACTCACACCCCTCCTATCTCCCGCTCCCGCTCCTGCTCCCTCTCCCATTCCATTCACATCAAGATTCATTTTCAATTATCTTTATATACAGAAGATCGATTTAGTATGTATTAAGTAAAGATTTCATCAGTTTGCACCCACACAGAACATAAAGTGAAAAATACTGTTTCAGTACTAGTTATAGCATTAATTCACATTGAACAACACATTAAGGACAGAGATCCCACATGAGGAGTAAGTACACAGTGACTCCTGTTGTTGACTTAACAATTTGACATTCTTGTTTATGGCGTCAGAAATCTCCCTAGGCTCTAGTCATGAGTTTCCAAGGCTATGGAAGCCTCTTGAGTTTGCTGACTTCGATCTTATTTAGACAAGGTCATAGTCAAAGTGGAAGTTCTCTCCTCCCTTCAGAGAAAGGTACCTCCTTCTTTGATGGCCCGTTCTTTCTACTGGGATCTCACTCTCAAATATCTTTCATTTAGGTGTTTTGTTGTTGTTGTTGTTTTGCCAGAATGTCTTGGCTTTCCATGCCTAAAATACTCTCATGGGCTCTTCAGCCAGATCCGAATGCCTTAAGGGCTGATTCTGAGGCCAGAGTGCTGTTTGGGACATCTGCCATTCTATAAGTCTGCTGTGTATCCCACTTCCCATGTTGGATCGTTCTCTCCCTTTTTTATTCTATCAGTTAGTATTAGCAGACACTAGTCTTGTTTGTGTGATCCCTTTGACTCTTAGACCTATCAGTGTGATCAGTTGTGAACTGAAATTGATCACTTGGACTAGTGAGATGGCATTGGTACATGCAATCTTGATGGGATTGTATTGGAATCCCCTGGCACATTTCTAACTCCACGATTTGGGGCAAGTCCGATTGAGCATGTCCCAAATTGTACATCTCCTCCCTCTCTTATTCCCACTCTTATATTTAACAGGGATCACTTTTTAGTTAAATTTCAACACCTAAGAATAAATGTGTGTTAATTACAAAGTTCAACCAATAGTATTAACTAGAACAAAAAATAATACTAAAATGGATAAAGTATTAAATTGTACATCAACAGTCAGGACAGGGGCTGATCAAGTCACTGTTTCTCATAGTGTCCATTTCACTTCAACAGGTTTCCTTTTTTGTGGTTGGTTAGTTGTCACCAATCAGGGAGAACATATGATATTTGTCCCTTTGGGACTGGCTTAATTCACTCAGCATGATGTTTTCCAGATTCCTCCATTTTGTTGCAAATGACCGGGTTTCATTGTTTTTGACTGCTGTATAGTATTCTATAGAGTACATGTCCCATAATTTCTTTATCCAGTCTACTGTTGATCAGCATTTGGGTTGATTCCAGGTCTTAGCTATTGTGAATTGAGCTGCAATAAACATTAAGGTGTAGACTGCTTTTTTGTTTGCCAATTTAATTTCCTTTGGGTAAATTCCAAGGAGTGGGATGGCTGGGTTGTATGGTAGGGTTATATTCAGGTTACTGAGGAATCTCCAGACTGACTTCCATAGGGGCTTAACCAGTTTGTATTCCCACCAACAGTGGGTTGGTGTCCCTTTTTCCCTACATCCTCGCCAGCATCTGTTGTTGGTACATTTCTGTATGTGAGCCATTCTAAATGGGGTGAGGTGAAACCTCATTGTGGTTTTGATTTGCATTTCCCTGATTGCTAGTGATCTTGAACATTTTTTCATGTGCCTGTTGGCCATTTGGATTTCCTCTTTTGAAAAATGTCTCCTAAGGTCCTTGGCCCATCTCTCAAGTGGGTTGTTTGTTTTGTTGTTGTGGAGTTTCTTGATCTCTTTGTAGATTCTGATTATTAACCCTTTATCTGTTGCATAGTTTGCAAATATTTTTTCCCATTCTGTCAGTTGCCTCTTCACTTTCTTGACTGTTTCTTTTGCAGTACAGAAACTTCTCAATTTAATACAATCCCGAATGTTAATTTTGGCTTTGACTGCCTGTGCCTCCGGGGTCTTTTCCAAGAAGTCTTTGCCAGTGCCGATATCTTACAGTGTTTCTCCAATGTTCTCTAATAATTTGATGGTGTTGGGTCGTAGATTTAGGTCTTTAGTCCATGTTCAGTGGATTTTTGTGTAAGGATTGAATTATGTTTCTCCATTCTCTCCTAGCATGTAGAGTTTCTGATGAGAAGTCAGCTGTGAATCTAATTGGAGATCCTCTGAAAGAAATCTGGCATTTCTCTCTTGCACATTTTAGAAAATCTTTTCTTTATATTTTACTGTTGAAAGTTTGACTACAATGTGTCATGGTGAAGATCTTTTCTGGTCATGTCTATTAGGAGTTCTATGTGTTTCCTATACTTTCCTTTCATTCCTTCCTTCTTCAAATTGGGGATGTTTTCTTTACTTATTTCACAAATAGGCCTTCTAGTTCATTCTCTGTTTCCACACATTCATTAACTCCTAAGAACCATATGTTGGGTTGTTTGGTAGTATCCCATAAATCTCCAACATTCTTTTTAATTTTTCTAAGAACTTTTTTTTTTTTAATTGACTGAAAGATTTCCAAAGATTTGTCTCCTAGTTTGGATATTCTTTCTTCTGCCTTACCAAGTCTGTTGTTAAGGCTTTCCACCACATTTTTATTTGATCTGTTGAATTCTTCGTTTCTAATATTTGATACTGATTCTCTTTGAAATCTCAATTTCATGGGAAAAATTTTCATTCATATCCTGTATGGATTAATTTGTAGATTTTCTTCTGATCGCTTTTGAGTAATCCTATGGTTAATCTTTAAATTTCATTTCTGAAATTTCATCAATCTGTTCATTTTCACATTCTAATATTGAGATGTTATTATGTTCCTTTGGTGGGGATAGGGTCATGTTGGCTTCCTTATTTTTGTTTCTTGAATTTCTGCATTTATTTTTAGGCATTTATAGAGATATTTGTTTTTTCCTCTGATGGCTTTTATCTTTGAACTATCCCTCTGTGGCTTAGTGGAATGTCTATACTTTCAGTGAATACCCAGGTGTGTGCTGGGTGTAGCCAGGGAGTTCTGGTCCATGTTCTAGGGTGAAGCAAGTATCCAGAGTAAAACCCAAGTTGGGCGTGGTAGATCTCCTCTTGTTAACAGAAGGAAGGGAATTGTCACTTCTGTTGGTGTGGTCACACTGTCATTTCTCCTCTAAGGTGATCAATGCCCAGGTGTTAGCCCCTAGTGGTGCAGCATTTATCCACACTGCTATGTGAACTGCACAAATGATCTGCACAGTACTCACTCTGAACACGGATCCTGTTGCAATGACCCACCCCACACGACCAAGGAGCTCTGAATGTGTGAAACCACACACAGTGATTGCCCAGAGACCCATCTATCCTCTGTACACTCTCATGCCACCACAAAGTCCCCAGAGTCTCAGCACCCAAGGCTCCCACAGCTGCTGGGTGCAGAGAGTCCACTCTGCCCCACCAGCCTGGCCAGAGAGAGACAGACATTCCCCAAGCCAGCTATCTGTGGGTGCTTGAACCCCAGAGCCTTTGGGATTTTGGGAGTGCCTCACAGTCCTAAGTGCATGCCCAGCCCCCTGTCAACCCTCCCAGCCAAGCTCAAAGCCAGTGGGGATCATGATTTTTCCCTCTGTTAGAATCTCTGGATAACACGTGTACACAAGAGCACTGCTGCCAGTACTACTAGAAGATGGCATCCTGTCTCAGCCAGCTGCTGTCCACACACACACAGGGGCTTTCACGGCTGCCACTTTTGCCCAAAATGGCTTCGGGTGCCATTGTGGGGAGGATAGGGTGAGAGAAACATGCTCCTTTTACTTCCACTGGGTCCACAGGTACCCTTTAGCCCCTAAGGCTGCAGGCCGGACTCACACCACACTCTCCCTCCAATGATATCACCACGGTTGCTGCAGTCTGACCTCACCTCCATCTCCAAGCTGGCACCCTCTCCAGCTCTCAGCTGTTGGAATTATGTGTTATGTCCGTGTTCATGCTGCACACGCACCCCTTCCACACAGGTGCATGGCATTCTTCTTCCTTATGTAGAATTTCCACTGTGATTTTCTCTCTGATTCTCCCCTAAAAGTGCAACTCCTACTTTTTTTTTTTTTTTTTTTTTACTATTTAGCTTAGCGAAGTACATAATTCCCTATTCCACCATCTTGGAATCAACCCATGAGTTCTGAATGTAACTCTAAAGGCACTTCAGACAGTGTTAATGTTTTTGGAAGAGAGTGTGAGACAGAGAATGTGTTTAACATTCACAGTACCATGTGCTTATGTTGACTTTCTCAAATGTTCTTTGTAGGTAGTTGACTATAGCACACTTGTTCAACCACGTTTTGAAAAAGCCCGTGAGATGTTAATAGAAAATACGATTACTGAAGCCACTGAAGCAGCTATTAGAACTGTAAAAGAAAGACTTCTAGCAGAACAGCAAGCTAAAATTCAAGGTGAGCCATCTTTTAAAAATGTGTGAAGTTTGGGTGAACAGTTAAACTCAACTATCCATAGCTAAGAGTGGATTGATTTCTCCACCTCTGTCTTTTTTTTTCTATTTATCTTTGTAATGATTAATGGCAGTCCTGTGGTATATGCAAAATTACATACATTCATTTTAAAATAATGTGTTTTTTCTAATTAAGATGATCACTGTACTACATTTTGTGTTAGATAGGTATCATAATCCATTTTTTTCTAGATGGTGTGCAAGTGTTACAAGTAACAAGCAACCAAATTATCCATAATTTTACTCTAGACTTGAAATGCCAACTTTATCTTGATATTAAATTAAGGGTGCATGTTTGTGCAGGCATGTGTGTGTGTGTATGTGTATAAGCTTCTGAGCTTTGTAGTCTAATGATCTCTGTATTTGTGTTATTCACTTTAATGTAGAATATAATTATCAAAGTCTTATGATACTTTTTAAAGCTAGTAATATAAACTCCTCCTGAAAATAGCTTGTTTTATAATTTTTCTCTTTTTATTCTTTTCGTTTATTCCATAAAATGAGTGTTTGTGTGGGCCAGGAATTGTACTAGCTATTAGGAAGCTTTTATAATTTTGTCATGTTCTACAACAAAACTCATTGGGAGGATTGTGTTATTACACAATAAGGTAGGAAGAATTTTCACCTGTAATATTAAATCAGAGTTCTCTTCAACCCTTTGGTCTGTTTCTGTAGCTTTCCATAACATTTTGTAGCTCTCTTCACAAATTGTCCATGTTTTTGTCAATAAGTTTGCTCCAAGATATTTTGTCATTCAGTTACTGTCAAATAGCATCATTTTACTATAACATTGTCTAAGTAGTAATTACCAGTATATTGATAGGCTATTTGATTTTTATATATTTATCTGTAACTATCCACCTCATTAAACTTGCTTCCTAATTCTTACAGAATGCTATTAATTGGTTCTCTGGGATTTTTCACAGCATTTGAAAAAAAGTATAGTATCAACTTCTTTTTCCAATTTTTGTGCTTGTATCCTTTCTTGAATAATTATGTAGACTGGTAGTACTATTATGATGTCAAATAATGATAATGGTAGTGAACCTATTTAAATGGATCCTTGCCAATTTTGCTATATAAAATTATTGAATATTTTGATCTTGGATTACTGCATAAAATTATTAAATGCCTTTTCAGAATCTATTGAAGATAATCATAAACTTTTTAATCTTTTGACTTATTTATTATACTGATGTATTTTCTAACATTAAATCATTTTTATATTTATGAAATAAATCTTTTTTGGTCATGGTGTGTTTTTTCATTATTTTTGTTTTTTTAATTTTATTGTTTATTTGAGAGGTGGAGAGACACAGAGAAAAAAAACAGAGTTCCCATCCACTGGTTCACTCCCAAAATGTCTGCAGTGGCCCTCAGTAAGGGCCAAAGCTGGGGACTGGGAATGCAATACAGGTCTCCCGAATGAGTGGTGGAATCCAGTTACCTGAGTCAGCATCACCACTGCCTCCCAGGGTCCACATTAGCAGGAAGCGGGTCAGAAGCTGGAGCCTGGAATCAAACCCAGGCAATCCATTTTGAGAAGTGTGCATCCTTACTGGCTTCCTAACTGCTAGATTAAATGCCGACCCCTGGAGTATTATTTTATAAGATTTGTTTTTTTACTTTTGCTTGCTGATTTACACTCTCCCTTCATTTATAAGTGTGATTCATTCATACTTTTCTTTTATGTGTGTGTGTGTTCTATTTGTTAGGTTTTTCTATCAGTTTTTTTTTTTATTTTTACCCAAATTGGAAATTTTCCCACCATTTTCTGTGCTCGAAACTTTGTAAGTAACAAGGAAAGTATCTCTTCCTACATGGCAAAGGGTGCTAGACAAGAGTACTTTATTTGCCTGATAAATCTGCCCCCTCTTCTTTCTCATTAGCCTATAAACAAGTAGAAGAATCCATCTTGGTACACATGAAACTACAAAAACTAACAACAAAAAAATTGGGGTGAGAATTGTGGTACAGCTGGTTAATTTGAGGTACCCTCATCTCATATTACAATCAGCCCAGCTGTTGTGTGCATTTGGGAAGTGAACCATGGAAAAAATTTATTCTCTCTCTCTCTCTGTCTGTGTGTGTGTGTGTGTGTGTGTGTGTGTGATCTAGAATGTAAAATATATTTTAGTATGTCTTCAAAATGAAAATCAAAAATTTTAAAATCACAGGCAACTTACAAACAGAAACTGAAGAAATTAGCTCAGTCTACCATGATGGCTTGTTATTCAGCCTACTTAAGACCGAACCAAACGAATTCATGAATGCATTCAATAGATCTTGAGCATATGCTGTGTATGATTTTACACAGTAGGAGTGCAGAAACGATCAAGACATATGAAACCCCGTGCTACTGGTGCTCACATTTCAATAAAGGACTGGGTGGAAGCCAAATGAATAATTATAAAAGCTGTAACTTTGTAGATTTTGGAGTTCTGCAAATTGCCTTTTCCCATAGGAACGTAGAAATAGATGCTGTCTTCCATACAATTCAAACTAAAAGCCTCTTGCTTTTTTTTCTCAAATTCCATGATGATTCTAAATCTGACAGTAACAGGGTTCACCTTTCTTAAAATTTAAAATATTGGAATTTTTGGCTATTGAATTTAACTCAATTTATTTTTAAGGAAAATTTGTCAGAGGAGAATTTAGAGATTTTTTAACAGAAAAAGTCGCACAATTCAGAAGATGGGAGCTAAGATGGTGCAGGCTTCCTGTGTGCCCACCAGTTTCCAAGCTAGATGTTGACATCCCTGACCATGTATAATCCTTGCAGCAATGCTTTGAGTCTAATGATCCTCATTAAAACTGAGACACAGAGATCAAGTGATTTACCGAAGTCACACAGCTCTTAAGTGACAGAACTCAAACCCAGGTCTCTCTGACTTTGAAGCAGTAACGTTTAAACCACTAGACTCATCTCCATATCCCCCAACTACCTCTTTCTAACATGGCGATTACTCTCTTTCAGCTGAGACAACTTTAAGAGAATTTCAAAAACACTTTGGAAGAAAAGAGTTTGAAGAGTTTTCAGAATTGCATTCCTCATTCGGTGAAGAAGGTGAAGAACTATGTTGCTAGAGGTGTTGGCCAGAGCTTTCCTAATCTAGAAAGATCAGTTGGTAAAGTATAGTCTTCTTTTACTGCAGCTTCCATTCATGACAGCCTTTTAGAGGTAGCTGAAGAAGCCAAAACGAAGTCAGAAAATGTCCTCGATGACCAAGGTGCGAATATTGATGAAGACGGTAACAAAATGAATTGCTAGCATTGTGCTTGCAGATCTGGTTTTCCACTAAACTGAACAGCTATGGGAGTGGGCATTTGGCCTAGCAGTGAAGCCGTCAGTTGGGATACAGTGTCCCACACTGGATTACCAGGCCCTGGGTTCATCTCACCTCCTGATTCCAGCTCCCTGCTAATGCAGACTCTGGGAGGTAACAGATGATGGCACAAGAACTTGAAACTCTGCCACCCACATGGTGGCCCTGGATTGAGTTCCAGCTCCTGGCTTAGGTCCAACCCTGCCCTGGCCATTGCAAGGGAGTGACCAGCAGATAAGAACTCTCTGTCTCTCAAGTAAATAAATACATAAAACTGTTTAAAAATAAAAAGTAAATTGAACATCTATGGAACAGAAATAGATATACTACAGAACAGAATATAGAAAACAGGGAGTCAAATACAAGTAGAGCCCAAAGAAATCCTTTTGTCTGTTTCTAAGTGTGGCACAATCATTATCATGTAATTAGAGATACCTTCTTAAAAGCTCTCTTCTTCCTTTAATTTATTAGAATCAGATCATGAATATATAATTTTAACTGAAATTTTATCATTTACGTATTGTACTCTTTAAAACCTTTGCAAAATTTTTCTATTTGTAATTTAACATAATTAAGACCATACAGTATTACATTACATAATTGTAACTGTACTAGGGTATCAGGAAAAGTAGAATTAAAAGATGTTGATTTTGATGCAAAAAATGTTGACATCCATGCATAGTTTTTCTATAATGTGCATTTTCCATGAACTTTTTGAAGACCCCTTATGCTATATGTAATGTAACATTACATAATAGCTATAATTTAAACTAGTTTTACCTTTTTTTTTTTAACTAAGAGAGGGAGAGAGCAACCCCATCTGCTGGTTCACCCCCCAAATGCCTACTAGGAACTCAGTCCAAGTTTCCCACATGGGTGGCAGGAACGCAGTTAACTGAGCCATCACCAGTGCCTCCCAGGGTGTGCATTAGAAGGAAGCTGAAATCAGGAGTTGAACCCAAGCACTCCAGTGTGACGTGCAGGAATATTAACCAGCATCCAAACATCTAGGCCAAATGCCCACCTATTTTTACCTTTTTGACTTATGATGTAGCATAATTGCATTACTTAATTAGAAATACTTTAACCTTCATTTTAAATTATTGTCCAATTTCCCTGTTGTTAGGTAGTAGATTTAAGCAGTTCTTTATGCTAGAAATTTAAGTTATTTATCTTTTTTTGCTACTACAAATAATACTGCAGTAAATTTTTATATAAAGTTTGTCTGCATTGAACTATGTGAAATTACCAGATTAGTGGATATGAGGTGATACACAGGAGCTAGTGGTTCCATATGAAAGTTGTTGCAGCCACATCATGATATCAAGGCTGCTGTGATTCAAGTGGTTTGGCTATACCTGAGGACCTTTGACCTCCTAAGGTCTGAAACCTTGGTGGACAGTGCAGTTACAGTGTCCACTGTAAAGGCATAGCAACAAGACCTTTGTCCTGTTTTTCAACTACCTCTCTTCAGTAGAGATGATGAATCTTTAAAGGTTGTTCCAAATTATGTTCCTCTCACTAGCGTACAGATCACATACCAGTGTTTGCTCTTTCTCAATGTTAGTATAATTTTTACTTCTGAAGTTTACTATTTTACTATTTGTTAACCATTTACATGTCTTCTTTTCTGAGGTGACCATTTTTTGTCTTTGGCCAAATTTTCTGTGTTGTATCAACTATATGTTCTCTGTATAAACTTTCCAGTTTAGTCTATTATTTTTCATTTTTTTTCCAAGTTGGGTAGTTTTTCTTCTTAAAATGTCTTCCCTGGCTCCTGGCTTCGGATCGGTGCAACGCCAGCCATAGTGGCCATTTGGGGAGTGAACCAACGGAAGAAAGACCTTTCTCTCTGTCTCCCTCTCTCTCACTGTCTGTAACTTTACCTGTCAAATAAAAAAAAAATAATAAAATAAAAAAAAGTCTTCCTCTCAACCAGAAATTTCTTCTAGGTCTATCAAACACATTATCACAAAAATGGATTCAAGTTGACAGTGTGACAAAATGATAGAAATATGTTAAGAGAATTTTATTGGTACTTTGTCGCTGAAACATCTGATTATTGCCAGAAGGCAAATTATATCAGTGTACTTAGTTATTAACTATCAGTTATTTAGAATTTCTAATCACCAATTAGCATTAGCCATTTAGCATTATGGAGAACTCTTTGATAAATTAGTATTATATTGTTTAAAAAAAAAAAAAAGGCTACCTGAATCTAGTCATATGTAGATACAGACCTAATTTCTCCATTCCTCATATTTGATGTTAAAGGAATATTGCCGGTGCCGCAGCTCACTAGGCTAATCCTCTGCCTTGCGGCGCTGGCACACCAGGTTCTAGTCCCGGTCGGGGCGCCGGATTCTGTCCCGGTTGCCCCTCTTCCAGGCCAGCTCTCTGCTGTGGCCAGGGAGTGCAGTGGAGGATGGCCCAAGTCCTTGGGCCCTGCACCCCATGGGAGACCAGGAGAAGCACCTGGCTCCTGCCATCAGATAGGCGCGGTGCGCCGGCTGCAACGCGCCAGCCACAGCGGCCATTGGAGGGTGAACCAACGGCAAAGGAGGACCTTTCTCTCTCTCTCTCTCTCACTGTCCACTCTGCCTGTCAAAAAATTAAAAAAAGGGAATATTACTTTTTAAGTAGGAATAGGCTAAGAATAACTAAAAACAGTACATCATCAGTATGTGTGATTGACTTTTCAAGCCTACAGATCCTGCTTAACATTTTGAGATTCAACTTAAGCAACTTTTTTACACTAAGTAAATTCTCAGCCATATTTGTCAAATATTACCTCATCTATTTGGAACAAGAAACTTTAAGAATTAATTCATCCAAAACATATTTATTAAATACCTATACTGTTCTGACTACTTTTCTGGACAAAAGACATCAAAATATCTGTCATGATCGAGCTTATATTCAAGTAGGGAGAGATAGGAAATAAATAAAATAAAATAAAACATGTAGAGTATTAGAATGTGATATCTGCCATGAAAAAATAAAGCAAGGAAGAGTAACCAAGAAAAAAAGAAATTTCTCACACAAACACATTGACACACACACATTCTTAAATCTGTTCTTCAAATTAATCCACCCTTTTTATATCCATTTGTACATGCATCTATAATTTATTTGTTTAGAATGTAGATCTAATGTTTTGTTCAGTTCCTCCTACCAAGTTAGACAGATGTTTGCCTGCTGTTTATTTCAAGCCTAGCAGGTGAACAGGACATTGTCAGCAGCTCACAGATGTCTCCCCTCCTCCCCCAACACAACACCTAAAACCTTCCAAAGGACCACAACCCTGTGCATTAAAATGTTGGCCAACAAGTGGCAGCTGGGAGTCCACTCTCTGCCACCATGGAGTTTCCAGCACTAACCCACAAAGAGGGACCCTCCCCAAGACAGTTTCCTCACTGGGGGAGGCAGTCCAAGTGGGAAGCACTCATCAGTGCCTTTCCCCACTGCTGGAGTGTTACAAGGATTGCCAGCACATGGGAGTGACAAGGCAGCCACCCTACCCTGCAGTCTTTACCTCCTGTGGTCAGGAGGCTGCTGGCATTCTTAGGAAGAGCGCTGTCAATGTTTTTCCTTTTGGAACCACTGGCATCATATTAAACTGGAATTACTCCTGGTTTTGTTACAGCTTAAGTTTCTAGCTTTACTTTCCCCTTGCTAATAGATATGTTTACCTGTTTGAATATTATTGGTTTTTATGTTAATTAAAAATGGGGAATGTGAGTCCTGGGTCCCTGGGCCCCTACTACAATATTCCCTGGAAATGCACCTGCATTTTTCTTTAATGTTCTTTAGATATTAACAATGTTTTATCCACAGATGAAAAAGATATCAGTGAAACATCCACATTTAAAAGGAGTTCTCAAGACCATAGTCAAGATCTGAAGACATATTCAGACAAAGGTAAATTAATATTTGGGCATTTTGTGGTTCTGAAAAGCACAGGTAGCACCTTCAGAATTTAGAAGGAGAAATTTGGGGAGTTTTTTTGTATAAAGTATCAGTATTCAACTTTATCTTAAAGGCTACCCTATTATGAATAGGTTGATGTACAGGAACACAGAAGAGGTGACGCATGATTTATCATTTTAGTGGAAAAAATATTAGGAATACAGGAAAACTATCTTTCTGCTTTTCCATCCCTGGCATGTGACTACCATAGAAATTCACAAGCTGGCTTCTGGAGCTTCAACCATCATTTCAGGAAGAGGGGGGGAAATAAGGGACAAACACTGGTACGCTACCCTGCTGAATTAACTCCCTTAAAGAAATGACAGAAAGACTTGAAGGAAAAAAATATGTTTGCATTTTTTTGACCATCCAGGCTATAAGGAAAGTTGCTCGAGTCTAAGAGAAGGTAGTTTTAAAAAAAAGTGGAGAGAGTGCATCTCAGGGAAGAGTTAGGGAGAAAACAGCAGAGGAAAGTCCACACAAATTCAAGGGACACTGGACCTAAGTGGAGGGTGTGGACATGCACAACTCAGCAGCCGAGCGCCTCAGCACCAGCTTTGGAGAGTGAGGTGAGACCAGACTGCAGCGGCCCAAGCCATTAGCAATAAAGCTGCAGGAAGAGCCTGGTAGGATTCTGGCTTGGAGCCCTGTTGGGGACAGTGTACCAGCCCAACTAGAGGAGAAAAAAAAGGAGGCACGTTTCTGTCTTCCCAGCCACCCGGCACCTGCGCCCTGTAACAGGCAGAGAGAGGGCGGGCACCATTTTGGACATAAGTAAAAGCTGCACCAGCTTGTATCTGCGTACCCAGCAACTAGCTGAGTGGAGACGCCCAAGTCTTACTGGGAGAACTGACAGGGGGCTGGGTGCTCATGACTGTGAGAGGCTTGTGCGCCAGGACTGTGAAAACATTGTGGCTGTGTGGGAGGACCCAGGGTGTGGCTGGGACTTTGGGCAATCACTATGGGTGCCTCCACACACTCTGGGCTCCCAGATTCACGGGTGAGGGTCGTTGCTCCGGAATCCATGCTCACACCAAGGACTGCACAGATCCTGTGTGTGGTTCCTGTGGCAGTGCAGACAAATACTGTACCCACTGAGGCTACCAACCAGGCACTGGTCTCAAAGTAGAAACTACAGGACCATGAGACTATGCCAACAGAGCAGAACAAACCTCCCCTCTGATTAAAAAAAAAGAAGATTTACCATGCCCAATCTAGGTGTCCACTGTGATGTGACTTCCTCTATCACTTTCTGATGCACTGCCTTTAAATCACTGTCCTGCTGATTTGTGATTCCGTGGTGCCCAACTTAACATTTCCCCTCTCTGGGCTTAGTTCCACTTCGATAGCCTGTGTTGCAGTACCAAAAAGATAATCTTTCTTGGCTCAGGAACTGACAGTCATGCTTTATTGCAAATAGTATTGTCCACTCAAGGTGTAAGTGGCATTTATTTATTAACTTGATTTGCTTTAGCCCCAGTAGAAGTTTCAGTAGAAGTCACTGCTAATCATCCAGCAGTTATTTCCATACTTGAGGAGACTATAAAAACAACTAAAGACTTGAACTTTGAACAGCCATATGAAAAACATGCTGAAATCTTGGAGGAAGTCCTCAGGGAGGTAAGAAAAAAAAAATCCAACCTGCTAATTTCTGTCATTGACATAACTATAACTAACAAAATATTAATCTATTGTATATATAATTATTTTAGTCTTATCTTACAGTATTGAAATGTATAGCCTTAAAATTCACACACATTTTGTAGTCCACATGCTTATGTATGAAATAGTCCAGTGAACAATTGCGGATGTTCTTTAAGTTTTCAGTTAGCAACAAAATTGTGTTATATAATTTCATAGCTTTGACGTTCATCCATTAACTTCCGTTGTCTGTGATTCAGTTCCATTGGTAAAGAGAGTGCCTGTGAAGCCAGAACCAAAGTCAGATATTTCATCCATGAGTCAAGGATGGGGGCACATTTTGCTCCACAGCTAATTAATTTCACCCAGTCACTGGGAACGTGTGTTCATGGGGGAGAGAAGAGGACGTACTAGAGATTTTCCTGTCCCAGAGGAACAGGAAAGCCTCAAATGCTAGGTCCCGCTAACGGCACAGCACAAGGCTGGTCTTTTGGTGATGGCGTCGTGTCGGTGTGGCGCTGTTTGGTGCAGAGCTCTGAGGTAAGCACTCAGGGCAAAAGTCAAGAATGGGTCAGCCGTGGACTCTGAATGAGCTTCCGTGTTGCTCTGTGATTTGCAGTATGTAAGAGGGAAAACACTAGTATGTGAGAGCTGGTGGACTTCCTCCGTCCCGGCCTCCTCTAGCCTCCCTGAGTCTCGGGTTTCCAAGGCTCCCTCATCGGGACCTTGCAACTTCTGCACCTCTGCAGGTCGTTCTGTCATCAGTTGGTTCCTTCAGAAACACCACAAGCCCCTACTTTTTGCCCTGAACTGTGTTAAATAATAGGCTCCTGAAGATTGATTAAACACAGCCCTTGCCTTCAAGAACCTGTTGATCACATGGGTGCATTAGCTTTTTATCACCACAGCAAAATACCCGAGGCAGTTAACCTTGTGAAGAATAAAGGTATATTTAGCTCACAGTGTTGAAGGCTCAAGTTCAAGACTAGGCAGCCCCACGGGCTTGGCCTCTGATGAGGGCAGGGGATGGCAGAGGAAGGATCATAGGGCAAACAGGAAGCAGAGGGGCAGGCCCAAACTCGGGCTTTTACAGCATAAAGGAGATAGCCTTTATTTCACTTGCTAATTGATCAGTGGAATCATGGATCCCTGAAGTTCTGGGTTAAGGAGGATTCTGAAGTTACATCTGTAACTTAATCTTTTAGAATTATAGTTTTAAAATATTTTAAACCCTAGGGGCTGGCGCTTTGGCACAGTGGGTTAAGGCCCTGGCCCAAAGCGCTGGCATCCCATATGGACGCTGGTTTGAGACCCGGCTGCTCCACTTCTGATCCAGCTCTCTGCTATGGCCTGGGAAAGCAGTAGAAGATGGCCCAAGTCCTTGGCCCCTGCACCTACATGGGAAACCCAGAGGAAGCTCCTGGATCCTAGCTTCAGATCGGCACAGCTCTGGCCATTGCGGCCAACTGGAGAGTGAACCACGGGATGGAAGACCTCTCTCTCTCTCTCTGCCTTTCTTCTCTCTGTGTAACTCTGACTTTCAAATAAATAAATAAATCTTAAACCATTAAAAATACAGAAACAATGATAATTCTCATTTCTACCAAAGGAAGAGTCACTCCCTTGTCATGGAGATGCAAAGGTACTTTTTCCTAGGACAAACCGTGGCTGCTGCCGTGACCTAGCTATGGATCACACAGGAGGCACACGGGAGGGCCCCGGGCACCCTTGTCAGCAGCAGCTGCCCCCGCTCCCGCTGCTCTGCACACTGGCTCGGGAGAGCTCTTCCACGGACTGCTTGCTCCCTAACAGCTCTGCGTCTCTGCTCTTGTGTTTCTGCCCTTCTATGAAGGGACTTCAAAAGATGTCTGAAAGACAGAATGAAAAGATGTTCGTTTTGGGTATGAAAGAAAATATGAAATCCATGCATATGCAGAGTCTTCACAGAGCTCATGGAAAATGCCTATTATGAAAAACAACTAGTAGATTTCAAAAAATGGCTACACCCAAATCAGATTATCTTCTAATTCTATTCTTCCCACACAGGTTTTGAAGTACTAGCCTATCTGTGTACTTGGCACAGTCGTGTCTCCCCATGCCTCCCACACCTCTGAGTCTTGTCCTACTTCCTCTGACTCCCTCAGTCTCGTCTCCTCTCTTCTCTCTCTCCCATCTTATCAGTCTCTCTGTGTATCTCTAGCATCAGTCTCCTTGTCTTCTATCACCTCGACCTTCTCTACCTGTTCACAAGTAACAAAATATGAGTAATATAAAATAACAATACAGAAATGGCATGTTTCACTGCAGAAAAAAAACAGACATGCGAAATTAATCACAAAATGATAGAGGATAACTAATGTATAAAAATGTATCATTTTTATAAGGTATTTTCTCTCCCTCACCCCTCCTCTTGAGGATGTGAAACGAAAGAACCACTTTACTCTCAGCTGGACAAGCACTTGGGAGCCCAGTCCGTGACTCTGTTGTCAGCTGAGCTGGGCACATAGCACATGTACGGGCTCCCCGTGGCTCTCATCCCTGCCACTCTGTCCCCAGAATCTCCACAAAGTCTCACCTTCCCTCTGCTTGGCCTCACCCCCTGGCCTTTTCCAACTGTGGAGTCACCCTCCAGAGACTCCTAAACGGAAGCTGTTGTCGCTGCTACACCCAAACCTGGCACCCTCCAATGCCCCCAGACCGTGCCCCTCCCCTCAGCTTTGAATTTTCCTGGACCAGAGCAGCTCGAGCTGTGCCAGTGACCACAGCGCCTCGCCTCCCAGCCGCCTCTTTTGCTGAAGCCATGGGCTGGGTCCATACTGTTGGTTTTGTCTTGTCCAGCATGCCAATCTTTCTTTCTTCTCCATCTTTTTCCATCTGCAGCAGTGTCATTTGGGGTGAATTAAAGCTGGAAGATGACTTCCACATTCATCCCTGTCCCACAAGCTTCTCCCAGAAAGGAGCTCTCCCAGAGAGCCTGGCTCCATTCTTTTCTTTAAAAAAAATTATTTATTTATTTATTTATTTGAGAGGTAGAGTTACAGACAGTGAGAGGGAGAGACAGAGAGAAAGGTCTCTGTCCATTGGTTCACTCCCCAAATGGCCGCAATGGCCGGAGCTGTGCCGATCCAAAGCCAGGAGCCAGGTTCCTCTTCCTGGTCTCCCATGTGGGTGCAGGGGCCCAAGCACCTGGGCCATCCTCCACTGCCTTCCCGGTCCACAGCAGAGAGCTGGACTGGAAGAGGAGCAACGGGGACTAGAACCGGTGCCCATATGGGATGCCAGCGCCGCAGGCGGAGGATTAACCTGCGCCAGGGCTCTGGTCCCAACCTGGCTCCACTCCTATAATGAAGAAGGGAAAATACAGCAAGAACAACCATGAATATCTCAATAAATTACCTGGCCACAAGAAGTATAGCAGAATACTTTTTAAACATGATTCAGAAGGTCCCTCCTAGGGCTACAGAACTTATAACGCTCACAAACAAGACTGTCATGTTCCTGTCACATCCATCTATATTGACTCATGGAAATTTTAGCTACCCAAAATGCCTTGAAATATAAATAAGAGGAATAACTACTGGAAAAGAGAGGAAATGTACTCATTTTTGCAGTTGATACTGTTTGTTCTACTAATAGCCAAGAAAATAATCTAAAAAACAATAAAAGCCAGTAGACATGTTCAGAAGTAAGGCAATCAAAGAAGTGAAAAATCCATACCTGACCGGAACATAAATGTAACATTATTGATACTAGCCTAAAGTCAAGATAAGGGATCTGTAAGAATAAAACTGCTTATTAAGCTTTGTTTTTAAGTTTTTATTTGAAAAGCACTGAGACAGACACAGATTTCCCATCTGCTGGGTCACTTCCTAAATGCCCACAACAATCTGAACTGGGCCAGGCCAAAGTCAGGAGCCAGGAACTCAATCCAGGTCTCCCACATGGGCGGCAGGGACCCACACACCTGAGCCGTCATCTGCTGCTTTCCAGGGTGTGTATTCACAGGAAGCTGGACTCAGAAGCAGAGCTGGGTCTTGAGCCCAGGCACTCTGATTGATGCGAGACGTGGTTGTCTCGAGCAGCATGTTGACCGCTATGCCAAATGCCCCTCCCAAAACTACTCTGCTTATATACAAACATAACCAGATGTCAAATAGAGACATAACAATTTCATGTATGTTAAGATAAAATCTTACTCTTATGTCTCTCTCAAATTATAGATTTGATGCTTTTTTTTTTTTTTTTTTTTTTTTTTGACAGGCGAGTGGACAGTGAGAGAGAGACAGAGACAGAGAGAAAGGTCTTCCTTTGCCGTTGGTTCACCCTCCAATGGCCGGCGCGGCTGGCGCACCACGCTGATCCAAAGGCAGGAGCCAGGTGCTTATCCTGGTCTCCCATGGGGTGCAGGGCCCAAGGACTTGGGCCATCCTCCACTGCACTCCCTGGCCACAGCAGAGAGCTGGCCTGGAAGAGGGGCAACTGGGACAGAATCCGGCACCCCGACCGGGACTAGAACCCGGTGTGCCGGTGCCGCAAGGCGGAGGATTAGCCTAGTGAGCCGCAGCGCCGGCCACTTGATGCAGTTTTAATAAAAATCTCAATGCAGGGGAAGGGTAGGGACTGGCAATATGATTCTAAATTTTAGTTGGAAGAACCCATGGTTGATGGGGCCGGTGCTGTGGCCTAACAAGTAAAGCTACCACCTGCAGTGCTGGCATCCCATATGGGCATCGGTTCAAGTCCCAGCTGCTCCACTTATGATCCAGCTCTCTGCTGTGGCCTGGGAAAGCAGTAAGAGATGGCCCAAGTCCTTGGACCGCTGCACCCATGTAGGAGATGCTGAAGAAGTTCCTGATTCCTGGCTTTGGATCAGTGCAGCTCCCACTGTTGGGGCCATCTGGGGAGTGAACCAGTGGATGGAAGACCTCTCTCTCTTCTCTCTCTCTCTCTCTCTCTGCCTTTCAAATAAAATAAATAAATCTTTTTTAAAAATCTGGTATGTTTAAAAAACAAAACAACAACAACAACAAAGAACCAGTGGTTGAAACTTGAGATCAACTTGTCAAAGAAGTCTGGTAGAGGGAAATTTGCTGTCAAGCTAGTGAACACCCTTGTGGTGTCACAGGGGCGTGTGAGCCTTAAAATTCTACCAGATCTACGGAACCACAGAGGAGGCACAGACAGACCTCAATATAGATAAAAATGTAGTATATGCTGAAGGTTACAACACAATCCAAACAAAAAAGAGAATTATTTAACAGTACTAAATGATTATCTGAATTCCCATTTTATATTAAGATAAAAAATAAATTCCATATAATGTAAATACTTAAATGTAAAACTGATTTTTTTAACTTGAAGAAGGTTTACTTACGTTGAAATCGTCTTGCAGTGGTAGAGAATTCTTAGCACAAACGAAATGGAAGAACTCTCGAAGGAAATCTCAATAGGAAGTCTACTTAATAATGAATGTCTCTCTACAAAAAAATCAGGAAAGTTAAAAATTTTTTAAAATATTTATTTACTTATTTGAAAGTCAGAGTTATACAGAGAGAGAGAGAGAAAGAGAGAGAGAGGTCTTCCATCAGCTGGTTCACTCCTCAGTCGGCCGCAACGGCTGGAGCTGCCCCAATCTAAAGCCAGGAGCCAGGAGCTTCCTCCAGGTCTCCCATGTGGGTGCAGGGGCCCAAGGACTTGCCTGTCTTCTACTGCTTTCCCAGGCCACAGCAGAGAGCTGGATCGGAAGTGGAACAGCCAGGACTCAAACCGGCGCTCATATGGCTTGCTGGTTCTGCAGGCAGCGGCTTTACCTGCTATGCCACAGCACCGGCCCCAGAAAGTTAAAATTTTAAGATAAAGGTCAAATATGTATTATTTATTCATAATAAATGACTAATTTCTTATAAATCAATGGTAAAATCTAATATCACAATATAAAAGCAGCTAAGAGATATAAACAGATGTGTCATTAAAGAAGAAATGTAAATATTTAATGGAAATTTTAATGTTTAAGTTTTATTAAAAATATGGAAATTAAAATAATGAGATATAATTGCTCATATATCCAATTAGTGAAAACATCTTTTAACAATCAATATTAGGGGCTGGTGCTGTGGTGTAGCAGGTAAAGCAGCCATCTGCAATGCTGGCATCCCATATGGGTGCCAGTTCGAGTCCCGGCTGCTCCACTTCCAATCTGGCTCTCTGCTATGGCCTGGGAAATCAGTAGAAGATGGCCCAAGTACTTGGGCCCCTGCACCTGCATGGGAGACCTGGAGGAAGCTCCTGGCTCCTGGCTTTAGATTGGAGCAGCTCCAGCTGTTGCTGCCAACTAGGGAGTGAACCAGCAGATGGAAGACCTCTCTCTCTCTCTCTACCTCTCCTTCTCTCTCTGTGTAACTCTGACTTTCAAATAAATAAATCTTTTAAAAAAAACAGTCAATATTAGACTGTAATAATTAGTCACTTTCAAACACTGTTTGAAATTAATTTAGATGTTTCTTGAAACAACATGAAAATGTGTATGAAAATCCTTTAAAATGTTCTCCCCTTTATTCCCTTTCCCCTACAAATACATCTTCTATGAATCTAAAGAACTGTAGAATACTTGCACAAGAATTTTTATATAAAAATGTTCATCTCGATGCTATAATAAAGTTATAAATATTTAGCAGTAAGAGGATGATTAAACAAATTAAAATTTACTCAAGAAAACATTATGAAACCACTAAATATCCTTCAAAAAAATTACATGAGTTGGAGGAATTATTACTTATTTGATACTTATATATTTATTCATTATATGATGCTTTTATGATACATTATATCATATTTATATGATATGTTTATACATTAAAATATATCATATAAATATATATTTATACATTATATCATATTATATGATATGTTTATACAGTAAAATATACAGATATATACATTATATCGAACTTATATGATATATTTATACATTATATACAAACTTTCAAACTTGGGCAGTAAAATTTTTATAGCCATTTTATTTCGTCCATATAACTTTCCTTTTTCTCCCTAATTCTCCTACGTTAAATTTTTCAAAGTGTTTAAAATTCTTTTATTTCAAAAAAATATTTATTCAGATAAAAATTCAAAAAGCAAGCAAGCTTAAATTCTGCATAGGCCAGAGAGTTGCACAAGTACCGGCCCTCTTGACATCCCTTCCGCTTTAACTTCTAACATTCTGTGATCACCTGGTGGCATGGGAATTGGTTTAAAGCCCTCAGAATTGGTGTGTGCAGATCCACATTACAAGTATCCTGATGGGTGCTGAAGCTTTTGCTTTAGGAAAGTGGACAAGGGTTCAGAACTAAGCACCTGCGAGATTCATTTTGACCCCATTCCCTCCCACTGCTATTGGTAACCTTCTCACTTCTCACACTGAGAAATGAAAAGCAAAAGGAAACTGAAGGATGTTATCCCTCAAAAGATAACCTTGCCACTCAGAGTGGCCCATGGACCATCGTCTCCTGGGAGCCTGTTTGCAGGTTCTGAGACCCTCATCCCAGACCTGCTGAATCAAGGTGTACATTCTGTGATACCAAATAACATATAGCAGTGATGTGCTGTTACGTTTATTTGATAAAGCCCTTTCTTCCCATCTTAACTTTTAAAACATCACAATTTTATTGCTTTAAAACCTTTTTTTAATTAACTTATTCAGGATTTTTTTCCTTCTAAAGTCAGAAGAACTCAAAAGATATTTAAGATCTACAAAAATGACACATTGAAGTAACAGCCTTGACTTGGCAAATTATGGTGGTAATATTTGGGTGCAATCTTTCACAGGTCATGGAGGAAAATCAGAATAGATTTCCTGGTGCCCCAAAGTATGGAGGATGGATCCTGGACAACTGCCCTATTGCAAAAGAACTGTGGCTAGTCTTAGCAGAGAGAGGACTGGTACCAGATTTGATCGTCTATTTATCGGATTTCGAAAACAATGGTTGGTAAATATTTATCTCGTAAATTTGAAAGTGAAGTTTTTTATTGCTGGTAATATTTTCGGTTGATGTATATATAAAAGAAAACTCTTCACCTTCCCCGGATATAAGTACCACCCCAGCAGTCACTGCAGGTACACACCTGAGCAGGTGGCCAGGGGTAATGTGATCCTTCCAGCAGGCCTCTGGAATTGGTGATTGGAGCTGAGAATTTAACATCCCTTCTCAGTCGGCAGCTATAACTTTTTTTAGGATTTATTTATTTATTTATTTATTTGAATAGCAAAGTTACAGAGAGGCAGAGGTAGAGAAAGAAAGAGAGGTCTTCATCCACCGGTTCACTCGCCAAATGGCCACAAGGGCCAGAGCTGAGCCAGTCTGAAGCCAGGAGCCAGGAGCTTCTTCAGGGTCTCCCACAAGGGTGCAGGGCTCCAAGGACTTGTGCCATCTTCTACTGCTTTGCAAGGCCATAGCAGAGAACTGGATTGGAAATGGAGCAGCTGGGACTCAAACAGGTGCCCGTATGGGATGCCTGCACTGCAGGTGGCAGCTTTACCCACTACACCACAGTGCCGGCCCTGGCAGCTTTAATTTCTAAATGAGCAGTAGATGACACTTAGTGGGGAGGGGCGGGGGGGCAGGGCAAGGGCGGCCTTGTGACACAGCGGGTTAAGCAATAGCTTATGACACCAGCATCCATATTAAAATGCTTGTTCAAGTTCTGGCTGCTCTGCTTCCTATCCAGCTTCCTGTTAATATGCTTGGAAAGACAGTGAATGATGACTTAAGAGCTTGGGCCCCTGCCACCCATGTGGAAGACCAGCATGGCATTCCAGGCTCCTGAGTTCAGCCTGGTCCAGCCCTGGCTATTGGAGGCATTTGGGAAATGAACCAGTGGATGGAAGATCTCTCTCCCTCTTCCTCCTTCCCTCCCCTTCTCCCTTCTTCCCCTTCTCTCTCTTTCAAATAAATCAGTAAGTCTTTTTTAAAATACAGGTAAGACTTAGGCCAAAGACTATGTACCAGCCCTTTACATCAAGTGGGAAAAATTAAGTATGAAAGATAGCAGAGCTAAATTTTAATTGCCCTATTACTTTGTTTCTTAAGCAAATATATTTGAAATGAGAGTTTCCAGGGAAGAATATAATATGCCACATATTTTCATATTTTAGTTATTTATACTTTTTAAAATAATTGAAATGGTCTATTAATATCTTCAGAAAGCCAGGCTCTACTGAGATAAATGCTTAAAGGAAAATATATTTGGATATAGACAAATTATTTCTATTATTAAATTTAAAAATATACTTCACTCTACTTTATAGACTTTCAAAATAATATTATTCTCTTTATCTGTATTTCAGGAAAATGTTTATATAATAGAATATATTTGAAGAATAAATCTGAAATTGATGCTAAGATTTTAGAAAGATTAATAGGTGATATACGAAAGAAAAAAAGAGAAGAAGCAGCAGCAAGGTAAAGTCTGTCTAGAGTAATAAAACAGAATCATGTATCTTTTATAGCTGTTGAATATCTTCTTACAAATTTTACTAGAAACAGCTTTAATAGCAAAATGGCAGCCTAGTAACTAAATCCAATCTAATTATTTCTAAGAGAAACAGTAATTTCACAAGTACTTCTAGAATCTAGAGTACACAGCTATTTTCACAGCCCATCTTAAACTTACTCTAAATAAAAATATCTATTCTCAAAGACAATAAAAACAAAAACAGCACAGGGGTCCAGCTTTGGCCACAGCAGTTAAGATGCCACTTGGGAAGCCTGCACCCCTGATCAGAGTGCTGAGGTGCAAGTCCCACCTTGCTTCGGGTCCCTGTGAATGTGTACCCTGGGGGACAGCAAGTAATGGCTCAAGTGATTGGATTCCCACCACCAACATGGAGGTCTAGTTGGAGCTCCTGGACCGGCTTTGGATTGACCCATTGTGGGCATTTGTATGGTGAACCAGTGGATAGGAGCTCTGTCTGCCTTTCAAGTAAATAAAAAAATTATAATGAACAAGATAAGATGTATAGAAAGACATATGAGGGGACTTTAAATAAATTGTGGAAAACAAAATTAATTAAAAGATAAAAACAGAAAATACAAGCTTCAGTTTTTGACACCCTTAAGTGATGACACCGACTATTTAATCCATTCCTAAAGAACTGAGGTCTTGGGAATTTGACTTGTCAGTGCAGTCCTTCTTACATTATCAACTGAATAAAAATGGGTACCCTTTAAGGATTTTTTTTTTAAGATTAGGAAACAAAAAGAAGTCAGAAATACCAAATGAAGACTGTAAGGGGGATGCCTAGTGATTTCCTACTACAATCGCCCTTGTTTGATGAGAGGAATGAACAAGAGTGTTGTAGGGTAGAGAAGGACCCTCTGGGGACGGTTTGCTGCCAAAGCTTTGGCTCACGTTCTCAGAACACACTCATCACGGACACATGTTATCATTCTTTGGCCTTGAACATCCTAAAAAGCTGTTGCTATGACCTTTGCTCTTTTGCTTTGACTGGACCTCCTCTTCCTCTGGGATCATCCTGATAAAGCCATGTTCCATCTTCTAGTACAGTTCTTTGAAAAAAAAAAAAAAAAACACTTTCGATTCCACTTATTTAAAATTTTCAACAGAAAGTTCTGCTCTTGTATCTATAAATTATGTGAGTCTATTAAGAATTCATTAAAAATAAAATTTAAAATGAAGTTTAAAGAAGAAAGTTCTGCTCTTTTCTGCAGCTGATTTGAGTGCAACACTTTGGCACCTATGGGACAGAAAGTTTGCAGGCTGTCCCCAGCATTCCACCTGGCTCCACCCTGGATCCTGCTGCATGGAGCTATCATGAGACCCTGCCCGCCAGGGATCCTGTAAAGTCACTGCTCCTGGCAGCACCCCAAGGCCAGCCCTGTGAGCCTCCCACAGCTGCAGCAAGAACCTGGGCAATACATTCTGAAGGGCTGGACCTACAGAAACCCCCAGGAAACAGTTGGATGGTTCAACTCACTCCCCTGTTGCCCCAGAAGCAACTGGGTAGCCCTACCAATACAGCCTCAGTCCAGAAAACAACTGGACAGCCAGCCCTGAGTGGCTCAGCCTGCTGAGACCCCCCAGAAAGCAGCTGGTGGCCCTGCCCAGCCTCCTATGGCCCCAGGAAACAGTCTTTTCTCAGCTCAGTTCAGTTAACCCCTGAAAAGCAGATGCTTGACCTGAGCTGGTCACCTCCCAGAAGCCCTCATACATGACAAGTACCCTGTCTGGGACTGTGGGTGAAGAACAGCCCCTGTGTGGCACTCAGACACACAAGGACCCCCTCTCACTACGGAGCACACTCTAGTACAAACATCTGGGCTGCCTCACTGTATCCACAGAAACTGATGCATGTCCCACTTGCATAGCTGGGTGAGAGCTGTCAGGGAACCTGCCCCTGCTGAAGAGCTACATCTCAGCTGTTGGTGCCATCCCACAGCCCCCATAGTCTAGGCCACTGAGATGCATGCAGACGTCACCAGCAGTGATTACAACTGAAGCAACTGGGAGGTCCTGCCAATGCAGCAAATCCAACCAGCACCCTAGGACACATCACCAGCCAATGTTGTCATTCAACAGGTTAAGCCATTGCCTGTGACACCAGCATCCCATATCAGAGCTAAGATTCAAGTCCTGGCTGTTCCACTTCCAATCCAAATCCCTGCTAATGCACCTGGGAAAGCAGCAGAAGATGGCCCAAGTGCTTGGGCCTCTGACACCCACGTGGGAGATCTGAATGGAGTTCTGGACCTGGACCAGCTCCAGCTGTTGCTGCCATTTGGGGAGTGAACTGGCAGATGGAAGATTTCTCTTTCTCTCTGTCTCTGCTTCTCTCTCTGTCACTCTACCTTTCAAAAAATAAATAAATCTTTAAAACACACACACACACACAATGTAGTGAAAAATGAAGTAACAGGATTCCTCCAAAGTAACACAATAACTGACCACTGAGAATTGGAAATCAATGTATTGACTAGCAAAGAATTCAAATGAATAATTTTAAGGAAATTTAAGATAAATAGAATTCAGACAGATAATTCATTGACATTAAGAAGATGACTCATGATAAGAATGAGAAATTCAACAAAGAAATAGCAATAAGAGGAAAGAATCTTGGTATGAAAGAACTGAAAACATGAAATGAAAAAATACAGTTGAGAGTCTTAAAAGCAGAATTGATCAGGCAGAAGAAAATCTATGATCTTAAAGATAGTGTCCTCTGAAATAAGTTAGACAAGAAGGAGCAAAAAAATATTTGAGATAATGAGGTAAACCTTCAAGACTTATGGGAAACCATTAAGAAAACAAATATTTTCATGATGGGTGTTCAGAACGGAGAAGAGAAATGAAAAGGCATAGAAAACCTATTGAGTGACATAATAGCTGAAAATTTTCCAAATGTTGGGAAAGATTTAAACATCAGGTTCTAGAAGCCCCAAGGACCTGTAACATAATTGACAAAAAACCCTTTCTGAGACGTATTATACTCAAACTGTCAAAAAAATTGAGCAAGAGAATTTTAAAAACAGCAAGAAAAAAGCATCAGCATGCTTTTAAAGAACCATCTATTGTCAGCTTAAGAGCAGATTTAGCTGAAATTGCAAACTAAGAGAACATGGAATGAATATTCAAAGACCTGAAAGAAAAAAAAAAATGCCAGCCAAGAATTCTATACCCAGCCCAGCTATCCTGGAGAATTAAAGGCATACCATGACAAGAAAGACCTGAAGGAATTCATCACTACCAAACTGATCCTACAAGAAATGCTTACAGGTGTCCTACATTAGATGTGAAAGGGTGATAACTATAACCATAAAAATACATAAAAAGACAAATACCAATAGTAGAGCAGATATACGAGAGAAGAAAAACCTAATACTATATTTTATTTTACTTTTTTCCAGATTTGATTTGCTATATAATTAGTTAAGGATACCTACAGTAGTTGGAACTAAAGTTCTGGTTTTTCCCTTGTACATATTAGGTTTTGATATAAGGGTTATATTGGTCTCTTAAAATGAACTGGAAAGCATTTGATTATTTTTCTGAATGAACATTTTGTTATTCTTTAAATGTTTATGGGAATTCACCAGAAAAACTATTTAGGCCTTTAGTTATCTCTTGGGGAAGATTTTTAAATGTGTTTAATTTCTCAAATACAGGTGAGACTTCAAATTTTTTCTTTATTTACCAGTTTTCTGAAGTTGTGTTCTTGAAGAAATACATGCATGTCACTCAAGTTGCCAAAACTGTTAACATAAAATTGCTGAACATCCTTTAAAATTTTTAAAAGTAGAACTACACCATGATCTGCCAATCACACTAGGTATATGTACAAAATAAATCAATCTGTTCACAAGACATCTGTATGCCCATGTTTTTTGCAGCACTATTCACAATAGCCAATATATTGTATCAACTGAGTGTCCATAACCATATGAATGGATAACAAAAATATGGTATATGCACATGGTAGAATACTATTCAGCCATAAAAATGTCCAAATCTTGTCACTGGTGACAACATGGATGAACCTAGGTGCCATTATGTTAGGTGAAATAAGTCAGGCACAGAAAGTGAAAAGTAGCACCTGATCTCACTCATATGTGCAAGGTATAGAAGTTGAGAATAAAACAGTGGTTATCAGAGGGGGAGGGGAGAAAGGCTAGGAAAATTGGGAGTGGTTAATCAGTGGGTACAATGTTGCAGTTGGATAGGAGGAACAAGTTCTGGTGTCCTACTGGGTAGGATGGTGCCTGTGATTGACAATAGTGTGCTTCAAAATAGCTAGAAGACAGGATTTTTTTTTTTTGACAGGCAGAGTTAGACAGAAAGAGAGAGACAGAGAGAAAGGTCTTCCTTCCATTGGTTCACCCCCCAGATGGTCGCTACTGCAGGTGCGCTGCGCCGATCCGAAGCCAGGAGCCAGGTGCTTCCTCCCAATCTCACATATGGGTGCAGGGCCCAAGCACTTGGGCCATCCTCCACTGCCTTCCCAGGCCACAGCAGAGAGCTGGACTGGAAGAGGAGCAACCAGGACAGAACCAGCACCCCAACCTGGACTAGAACCCGGAGTACCAGCGCCGCCGGCAGAGGATTAGCGTAGTGAGCCGCAGCACTGGCCTAGAAGACAGGATTTTTAATACACTCATCACAAAAGAGGATAAATGGTTAAGGGATAGATATGCTAGTTAATTAGCCCACTGCACAGGTGTGCATGCATTAAAACATCACATCAGATCTCATAAAAAATAAATGACTATATATTGAAGATAAAATGAAACAAGACAGATGTATGTTCTATTAAAAATGTATGCAGAGGCTCACTTGGTTAATCCTCCGCCTGCAGTGCCAGCATCCCATATGGGTGCCAGGTTCTAGTCTTCTTCCATTCTAGCTCTCTGCTGTGGCCCAAGTGCTTGGGCCCCTGCACCCGTGTGGGAGACCAGGAGGAAGCACCTGGCTCCTGGCTTTGGATTGGTGGAGTTCCGGCCGTACTGGCCATTTGGAGAGTGAACCAACAGAAGGAAGACCTTTCTCTCTGTCTCTCTCTCTGCCTATAACTACCTATCAAATAAAAAAAAAAAAAGTATGCAGAATAAGTAAGATATTTTTACCATATGTATCTGTGACTATTTTACAAGCTAGTATCTAGAAATTACTAATAGGAAGGAAATTAAAATATAACTGTATGACGTGGCCAGCGCTACAGCTCAATAGGCTAATCCTCCGCCTGCAGCACCGACACATCGGGTTCTAGTCCCAGTCGGGGCGCCAGATTCTGTCCCAGTTGCCCCTCTTCCAGTCCAGCTCTCTGCTGTGGCCTGGGAGTGCAGTAGAGGATGGCCCAAGTGCTTGGGCCCTGCACCAGCATGGAGACCAGGAGAAGCACCTGGCTCCTGCCTTCGGATCAGTGCGTGCACCGGCCGCAGTGCACCGGCCGCAGTGGCCATTGTGGGGTGAACCAACGGCAAAAGGAAGACCTTTCTCTCTGACTCTCTCTCTCACTGTCCACTCTGCCTGTCAAAAAAAATAAATAACTGTATGATGTGACTAAAACCTAAAGCCTAACTAAAATTTACATAAAGAACAAGATTGACTCTTACATTTGAACTTATAATGAAAGTAATGAAAGATCAGCCAAGATCTGGCTGTTATAGCCATATGGGGAATGAATCATCAGATGGAAGACATCTCTCTCTGTCTGCCTCTCACTGTCTGTAACTCTACCTCTCAAATAAATAAATAAATAAATAAATTTTTTTAAGAATGTTGGATGGTGTGGGCATTGTAGTACAGCGAGTTTTTTTTTTTTAAGATTTATTTATTTATTTATTTGAAAGGCAAAGTTACAGAGACAGAGAGAGAGAGAATGAGAGTGAGAGAGAGAGAGGTCTTCCTTCCACTGGTTCACTCCCCAAATGGCCACAATGGCTGGAGATGCACTGATCCGAAGCCAGGAGCCAGGAACTTCTTCCAGGTCTCCCACACGGGTACAGGGGCCCAAGGACTTGGGCCATCTTCCACTGCTTTCCCAGGCCATAGCAGAGAGCTGGATCAGAAGTGGAGCAGCTGGGACTCAAACTGGATTCCATATGGGATGCTGGCACTGGAGGCAGCGTCTTAACCTGCTACACCACAGTGCCCACCCCAATAAATAGATCTTAAAATAAAATATGTGAACACATATTAATCTGTTCATGCCTAAGATCAAGACTAAACCTTCATAAGGTTCTTCAGACTGGTTATAAAATACAAAAATAAACAGTTGCTTAATTTTCTGTTTATTCTTCCTTGATAAAACATACACTTCAAATTTCAAATTCAAATGCAATTCCTGCCTCTCAAAGCAGTAATGGCCTGGACACTTGAGAACTAAATTTCTGTATGTAGATTCACTAAACTTTCTACTGATGATGATACCTACAGGGGCTTTCTTTTAAAAAAAATATTTATTTATTTGAAAGTCAGAGTTACACAGAGAGAGAGGCAGAGAGAGAGAGAGGTCTTACATCCGCTGGTTTCACTCCCAACGTGGCCACAACAGCCGGAGCTGTGCCAATCCGAAGCCAGGAGCCAGGAGCCAGGAGCTTCTTCCAGGTCTCCCAAACGGGTGCAGGGGCCCAAGCATTTGGGCCATCTTCTACTGCTTTCCCAGGCCATAGCAGAGAGCTAGATTGGAAGAGGAGCAACCGGGACTAGAACCAGCGCCCATATGGGATGCCAGCACTTCAGGCCAGAGCATTAACTGCTGCGCCATAGCACTGCCCCCCCCCCTTTTTTAAAGATTTATTTATTTATTTGAAAGAGTTACAGAGAGAGAAGAGAGAGAGAGAGAAGCAGGGGCCTTCTTTTTATATGTGCATTTATCTATTTTATTTATCTGAAAGGAGAGACAGAAAGTGAGAGAGACAGAGACCTCCCATTCACTGGTTCACTCCCCAAATGCCCACAATGGCCAGAGGTGAGTCAGGACAAAGCTGGGAGCCCAGAATTCAATCCGGATCTCCCACCTGGGCAGCAGGGACCCAAGGTGACTTGGGCCATCACCTGCTGCCTCCTGTGCACTAGTAGAAACCTGGAATGAAGAGTGGGGCACAGTTCAAAGCAGACACTCGTAATGGGTCACTGGCATCACAATCCAGTGTTTTAAGTGCTAGTCAGGTACCCTCTCCCTTGTAGAGGCTTCCTCAAATGCTATTTCCTTTCCCTCTTCAGATATTAGCAATTTGAGCTGGAATTTAGGAAACTCTTTAAACTCTAGAAATTATGAGACATCAGTTTCAGAAATGGCAGTCAAATGGCAAGATAATTTCTGTCATAATTGTCCTTGGATCTTCTAAGTGGCTGATAGGAGTTTTTAATAACTAACAGCAATCCTCTATTAATTTTGACAGGTTTCCTAATTAATAGCCAGAGTTTTTCAAGGCGTGACATTTCATTTTTTCCTTACCAAAAATAAACAAACAAACCCTGATAATTAACTGGCACCAATATGAGTAATTTAAAATTTTCCATGTAAAGTAAAATGTATAATAAAAATTATAAGCTATTTACTCTTTATTTTTACCACTAGAAGCATTTAAGACCTTAGTTTTATAAGATGCCTAATTTCCCAAGATAACTAAATTTTGGGTCTTTTCATTTCAGAAAAGCCAAGGAAGAAGCATTGAGAATAGAAGAAGAAAACCGAAGGCTGATTAATGCTATGAATGAGAAAGCAAAAGGCAAACAGATTGACACGACTGATGATGTGATATGTGATTTTGTATTGTGACTGCAAACAGCTGTAGCATTTCAAGTGAATTGTAGACAGGGTGACCACGTTTCCCAGTGTACTGTGAGAGTCCAGTTAATGCCTATGGTCTCACAGTATGGATAGGACCCTCTTTCATTCTCAGAGTGTTCCAATTTGGATAAGTTACTTGACTAATGGATTCAAAGGGAGAGACTCGTGACACAGATGTCAACTTGCGCACCCTCTGAGAGGGATAGACAACATGTATTTAAATGGTTGTTCTCATCATGGATGACACATGGTTCTTAGGATCATTTCTACGAGAAGGATTCTGCTAGAGTTGAGAGAACAAACTCTGAATACATTGTCTTTACACTTAAAACTTCCATCTCCGTTACAGAAGGACTTCCCTTTTTAACTTTCTCTCAGTACTGGAGTTCTCTGTTACAGAAGGACTTCCCTTTTTAACTTTCTCTCAGTACTGGAGTTCATGGATACACTTCAGGGGTCTGTTAATATTTTCTATGGAAAAATAATTCCAACCTTATTTTCACTAGCACTTCACTTGAAAATTGGTATTTCCTTCAGGCACCAATCCCCAGTGGCTTTAGAAGAAATGAAGATATTATCATATGACACTAGTTTTATCCATCTTGTCTGTGCTTATCACTATTCCACAGCTGTGGTAGGTGGTTACTAAGCCAGCTTCTAGTTCTTGTTCTTTAATATATTGCTCAAGATGCACAAAGTTCCTATAGTGCAAATGTTTTTATATACCTTGGTAACTATTTCAATGTAAGTGGTGGTTCCTTATGTCTTTGGCTTTGTGAGTCTGAAAGCACAGTGGGCCTGAGGAGAGTTCATAACCAGGTCTCAGCAGACTGCAGGAGGAGTCCATGCTGTCTCATGCTCGTGTGTGTTACCTTTAAAACCCTCCGTGTAACACAGAAGGATCCACCACATTCCCAGTTCCATGCTGCGAAGCCACGTGTGCAGTCCTGCCTCAGACCTAGATCTAAGGATACCTTAGTGTTCTTCCCCTGAGTGTTTAATCATTCACGTTTAGATTAAAATTCAGGTGTCAGAGATCTGTCCCACCTGATCCTTGGAGGTACTCACTGGAGGAAGAAATCCACACAGAAATCCAGAAAACAAACTCCTAGAGTTTTTCAGATATTCTTCGTACATACATTTGCTTTCCATTTTCATAAAAAGATGAGGTCATTTTCAGATACGCATGAAAGGGAATTGGGCAAATGGGTTTTCTGACACTGCCGTTCATGCCGTCTTCTTCCTCCAAGACTCCCATGCAAGTATTTCCTATGGTGGTCACCAGCAGCTACCTAAAACTTGGAGCTCTGCTTTCCAAATCTGCATTCAGCATGTTAACATACCATATGATTAATGACTTTCAAATATCTTTAAGAAAATCTCTCATTCTAGTATCATCCAGCCTAGTGCTACCCAGTAGCAATGCGATGGACGCCACACATGTAACTTCATGTTTTCTAGTAGCCACCAATCTTATATTTGGTTTTTCATTGAAGTCCATTGTATATTTTATACTTACAGCATATCTCCGTTTGGGCTAGCCTCATTTCAAGTGCTCGGTAGCCACATATAGCTAGTGGCTACCATATTAGATAATTCAAATCTAACCATCCCCTTACTGTTGGACACTGGGCTGTTTCTAGTCTTTTTTGTTACAGTATTTGGGACTGCTATAAGCATTTTCTCTTTTGAATGAACCCTTATGCTAGGGCTCCCTCAGCACTCTGAGCGGGTAGCTGTCCTCTTTTCCTACTACATTTTAGTGGCTATAATATAGAGATGGTTTATCAGTCTCCCCATTAAGCCACACTCTCCAGGAGAGTGTGGACCTCAGCACTCATCGGCACCCAATAAATATCTGTTGCTTTCAACCAAATGGTAATTTCTTTCTCCTAATTCTCTGTAGAGATTGATGAGGGTGATAATGAGGAGGAAGACGAGGTTGAAGGTGAAGAGTCTGAAGCCCATGAGGAGTCAGAGGCTCCTTACGTGTCCAAGGAGACCAGAGGATCCTTGCCAGAAGAGTCTGACGCCCAGGAAATAGAACCTGAGTCAGGTGAGACTTCCTCAAAGGCCAGGTCCTTCAGCGTCCGTGTGCGTGCTTGGGTGGGCACATGTGCATGGACGTGTACACGTCGGTGGAATGGAAGACGGCTGTGAGGGGAGAGGTGAGCACCCGGAGAGCAGCCACTTCGCCGGAATCACTTGGTGTGCAGTATGGCAGGAAAGCTAAGTCTGCTGTAGCCTGGGACTGGCCCTTTGGAGCAGCGTCGACTATGTACCTAACCCTTCAAACCACAGATTTTCAGATACCAGTTTAAAAAGCAAGGAGGAGCCCAGTATGGTGGCACAGTGGGTTAAGCCGCCACCTACAATGCCGGCATCCCATATGGACATTGGTTCAAGTCCTGGCTGCTCCACTTCAGATCCAGCTCCCTGCTAATGTACCTGGGAAAACAGCTGAGGATGGCACAAGCACTTGGGCCCCTGCACCGATGTGGGAGACCTGAAAGAAGCTCCTGGCTCCTGGCTTTGGTCTGGCCCAGCCCTGGCCATTGCAGCCATTTGGGGAGTGAACAAGAGGGTGGAAGATCTCTATCTCTATCTCTGTCTCTCTCTCTCTGTAACTTTGCCTTTCAAGTAAAATAAATAAATAAATCTTTTTTTTTTTTTTTGACAGGCAGAGTGGACAGAGAGAGAGACAGAGAGAAAGGTCTTCCTTTGCCGTTGGTTCACCCTCCAATGGCCACTGCGGCCGGCACACCGCACTGATCCGATGGCAGGAGCCAGGTGCTTCTCCTGGTCTCCCATGGGGTGCAGGGCCCAAGCACTTGGGCCATCCTCCACTGCACTCCCTGGCCACAGCAGAGAGCTGGCCTGGAAGAGGGGCAACCGGGACAGAATCCGGCACCCCGACAGGGACTAGAACCCGGTGTGCCGGCGCCGCTAGGCGGAGGATTAGCCTAGGAGCTGCGGCACCAGCAATAAATAAATCTTAAAAAAAAAAAGCAAGGGGAAAAATTGCTACTAAAGACACCAAAATATAAAGCTTTTTCCTTTCTTCCATGGTCTCTTTCCCACCTTGTCCTGATGTTTTTGATTTGCTATTTTATGTTGTACTAAGTAAAGAAAAATTAAAATTTCAAATCATTAGCATCATTTTTACAGTTCACCTTTATGTTATGCAATGCCATTTTTTTGGGGGGGGGGGGACAGGCAGAGTTAGACAGTGAGAGAGAGAGAGAGAGAGAGAGAGACAGAGAGAAAGGTCTTCCTTTTCTGTTGGTTCACCCCCCAAATGGCTGCCACGGCCGGTGTGCTGCGCCGATCCAAAGCCAGGAGCCAGGTGCCTCCTCCTGGTCTCCCATGTGGGTGCAGGGCCCAAGCACCTGGGCCATCCTCCACTGCCTTCCCGGACCACAGCAGAAAGCTGGACTGGAAGAGTAGCAACCGGGAAAGAATCCTGCGCCCCAACCGGGACTAGAACCCGGGGTGCCGGCGCCACAGGCAGAGGATTAGCCAAGTGAGCCATGGCGCCAGCCATGCAATGCCATTTTAAATGCAAATATAAGAGTATTTAATAAATATGTAAAATCAGCAAAATTGCACAATTCATATTTTGCAGCTCATCTTTGCTTAGATATTTCATTTTTACCAGAATATTAAGTTTACTTAACCACACAAAACTAACTCCACGTTCTATTTCACTTCCCAAGTTGTGCATATTCTCCAGTGCTCTCTGCCTTTAGGTGACTAATGATTAAGGAAGAGCTAAAAGGAAAAGAAACTCTGAGTTGCCCTATCTCTGCCTTTGCTCCAATGTCATTATTTTCTGTTAAGTAGTTAGATAATACAGGGAAATAACACAAGTTAAAAAGGGATATGATGGAAGTTCTTGGTCATTTGTGTTTCTTTGAGTGCCATTGTTTGCTTCCTGCATTTGACGCAAATTCTAGTTCAAAAGGAGAGCATGATTTCTCAGGGCTGTCAGTGTTTCCCCCTCCATCCACTCAGATCCCACACACGATGGATCCATTGGAATTCTGGACTCCCTTGGGGCACCAAGAATGCTTATGAGAATGAGATGACAAGAAAAAGGCAAACACTGTGCATGTCTCCAGTGTCCCACTGGGGTCTCATTAGACTTTATGTTTACAGAACACAAATTCAAAGGTAAAATTATTTCAAGTTTCAAAATAACCACCCAGGAGCATTAAACAAAACATGGAAGACCCTGTGGAACTGCACGGATAACACACTCACAACGGCAGCCCCACTGCAGAGGTCTAGTTTGGTGGCTTGGGTAGGGCAAGAAGGAGTCTATGAGCAATGGAAGTCACTCTTGGGTGGGGAGTGGGCTGAAAGCAGCAACATGAGGCAGCCCACCATGGCGAGAGTGGGGCTGAGAGGTGCTTCCAACACAGTGAGTGTTGAGTTAGAAACTAGTTCTGTGAACTCAAAGTCTTCAGATACCTGCAGCTAGGTGCCAGCCGGGAGCAGTGAGGGACCGGGAACCTGCTCTTAGCTGGTAAAAGAAGCAGATCTAAGAGAGAGTTTTACAACGAGAAGCCTTGAGTTCAAAAGAGATCATTCAAGACTATAGTCTTGAGTTCACACTCACAAACTTCATTATTGGCTTTACCACCCAACCATTAGGCTGACAGCAGTTCTCTGCACCCATCTACCTTTATCAAGAAGTCAGGTCCTAAAATACCAAAGGAAGTAAAAGAAAATGTATTTCTCTAGGTAACCTACTTTGGCTGTTTCTAAAGCCCGGTTCAGGACTGGACCAGTGCCGTAGATATGACTTGGCTTCTCCAGGGCTGGTTCACTTGAGTGAAATCCTGGGTCCATTCTGCCTCCTTACACCGTATTCTGTTTCACAGAAAGATTTGCATCTGGTTGAGCTAGTGATTGCCTCTTCCTTGAAGGGTCCCCATCTACAAAGTCTTCTCGTCAGAACTGTGATACAGGCTTTGTTGTTGCTGCTGCTGTTTCATGTGAAACTACACCATCTAACATGAACCCATTACTCTTGGGCTTTTAAAATTTATCCAGAGTTCCCTGTGGTAGGCTGACGATGGCTGCCAAAGCTATGCCCATACCCTCTTTCTCAGAACATGTGAGTGTCACCTGATTTGGGAAAAAAAAAAAAAAAAAGGCCTTTTGCAGATGGAACTAAACTAAGGCTCTTGATATAGGGCGATTAGCCTGGATAGTCCAGGTGGGCCCTAAATCCATCACAAGTGGCCTCATAAGGGAGAGGCAGAGGGAGGTAGACCGCACATACAGAGAAGGTGATGTGGAAACAGACATCACGGTGACGCCGCCTCAAGCCCTCCAGTGGCAGCAGTCAGGAGAGGCTGGAGAAAGCAGGGAGGAGTGTCTTCCAGAGCCTCGGGGGTAGTGCGGTCCTACCAGCACCTTGATGTCTGGTTTCTGGCCTCCAGGACTCTAAGAGAATGAATTTCTATTGTTTGAAACCCTGAAGTTTGCAGTAATCTGTTGCAGCAGCCGCAGGAAACTGAAACATAATAAACCCAAAATAGAGTTCGTATGCCTTACTGCGGAAAACACTTCTTTTCCTTTGGAATTTAGCCACAGACAATCAGTACTTTAGTCAAGGGTCAAATAGAATGACTGAAGTTTCATTCCAACCCTGTTGTCACTCTAGACTTCTTAGAAAGGAATGAATGACATGCATATTGCTTGGAATCGATGTTTGCATGGCCAGCAACCTGTGCAGTCAGCACCTTTGGGAGTGAGCACTTGGATTCTCCCCAGCTTATTCACTGTGTACTAATTGTGTGGAACTTGCCAGAACATGAGCCTGGAGTAAGCACTGGTTCACCTGACAGCACTCTGTTCCAAGGACTTTATGGACATGTCATACAGCCAGCTGTTACAGACATTGAGGAATTCATTCCTTTAACAGATATTTACTGAACTCCTTCTCAGTTCAGGCAAAGCAATAGCATTGTCCTCAGTACCGGGACCCAGCTGTGATCAAAACAGCCAAGGCCTGTATCCTCAAGGAGCTGATCACCTGTTGGAGTGAAGCACAGGAAAAAAAACAAGGAAGTGACCAAGACACATTCTGAGAGTGATTAAGTGCACTGAAGAAAATACATGGAGGTGGGCCAGCACTCTGGCCTGAAGTGCCAGCATTCCATATGGGCACTGGTTCGAGTCCCGGCTGCTCCACTTCCAATCCAGCTCTCTGCTGTGGCCTGGGAAAGCAGTAGAAGATGGCCCAAGTCCTTGGGCCCCTGCACCCACGTGGGAGACCAGGAGGAAGCTCCTGGCTCCTGGCTTCGGATCAGCGCAGCTCCGGCCATTACAGCAAATTGGGGAGTGAACCAGCAGATAGAAAACCGACTCTCTCTCTCTCTCCCTCTCTTCCCCTCTCCCTCTCTCCCTCTCTCTGCCTCTCTCTGTGTAACTCTGACTTTTAAATAAATAAATAAATCTTTAAAAAAGAAAAAACGTGAAGGCACTAAAGCAATGCCAGGGGTGGAGTAGGTCTTCTACAAATGCTTGCTGAAAGTGAGGAAGCAGAGGCCAGGGAGCTGGTTTGAAGGGGGCAACACCAAGCATTTTGGCCCAAGAAAGGTGTCATCTGTGAAGATGATACATGAGGGGAGTCAGAAGGACCGAAGAAGACCTGAGCAAAGATCACTACGTGGAAGAGGCTCCAAAGTGGCCACAGCTCAGCACAGCCCAGAGAGAACCCACATGACGCCGGAGCGTCAGGAGCAAGAGAGAAGTGGAAGGAAAATCGGACAGGAGGCAGAGGCCAGAGGCTCAGGGAGGCGGGCGTTTTCTCTGAGCCTAAGTGGTTGATATGGTCTCGTTATCATTTTTCACAATTCTCTTTGGCTGCCGGCATCCATGGCCTCAGCTGTAAAACAAGGCTAGGGGAGGTTCCCCCCAGGGTGGTAGTAGGGATGGGAACGTTGTATCTAAAGCACCCAGCACAGTCTGGGCACCTCATGCCTGAGCATCCTTAGTAGCAGGCTTAGGCCCAGGTCACTGTTCCTCATCCGCCTTTGTAAA